GCGGCGGAGATGGGGATTACATGGATTGGTTGAAGATGAAAGACGAAGGGTCGGTGGTTTACGTGTCGTTTGGAAGCATTTCGAGATTGTTGAAGCAACAGAAAGAGGAGATCGCGAGAGGGCTGTTGAGCTCCGGGCGGCCATTTCTATGGGTCATGCGAGATGATGATGTGGAAGAAGATAAGTTGAGCTGCAGGCAAGGATTGTTTTCACTAAATTTTTTACAACCATTTGATTTTTCTTCTTTTTTTGGCTAAATTAAAAAAAAAAGTTGGATGATTTCCTTACAAAAGTTTTTTTTTTTATAGTGCGTTTAATGAATGTTTAAAAGATATCATCCCAATTTTGTCTTAAAATTTCTTTTCTTTGCTGTCGCGGAGTTTGGTCATCCATTGTCTATCCAATTTTACCCTAATCTTTTTATTTTTAAAACGATAGCTTCCCTTCGTATCTTTTTTTTTTCAGATTTAATTTATGTTAATTATCACTCAAATTAATCATATGTGCTCAAAGGGTACTTTTATGAAATTTTATGAAAAATTAGGATAGTATTGAAAATTTGAAAATGATAGAGGTATTTTTCGAAACCTAGTATTTTTTCTAGTTTATAGTTTAGTTTATTGTTTTTAAAGAGGAAAGTTCTCCCTTTGCTCCCCTCTCTCCCCACGTATGAAAAACTTTGGTTTTTTAAAAAATTTGAAAGCTTTGAATAGATGAGAAACTTACTAATAAAGTTTACAATTTTTTTTAAATAGAAATTAAAAGACGAAATAGTTATCAAACACCTGATAATAACTCATTTACAATCAATGTATATATCTATCAAAGCTGCTGTGGATGTTGATATTTTAAATCCTTGTGTACAAGTGAGGAATTGGAAGGCCAAGGCAAGATAGTTAAATGGTGTTCGCAACTGGATGTTCTATCCAACCCTGCGACGGGATGTTTTCTAACGCACTGCGGTTGGAATTCTTGCTTGGAAAGTCTTGCCTGCGGGGTTCCGATGGTGGCGTTTCCGCAGTGGAGTGATCAAGGAACCAACGCAAAGATCGTTGAGGAGTTGATGGCAAGCGGAGTGAGAATGGATGTGGCAATGGACGCCATGGTTAAGGAAGAGGAGGTGAGGAGGTGCTTGGATTTGGTGATGGGAAATTCAGAGAAAGGGGAAGAAATAAGGAGGAACGCAAACAAATGGAAGGAGTTGGCCAGGAAAGCCACGATCGAGGGTGGCTCTTCATATCACAACTTGAAGGCTTTTGTGGATCAATTGTGTCCTTAAAAATCCAAGATGTGAGACCATTTGATTCGAGATTTTAAAAAGTAGTTTGGGATTAAGATGTCTAAGAATAAAAGATAATTGATTTTATATATGACTGGGATTAAGATGTCTAGATATTTGAAAATAAATTATATACGTGTTTATTTTGTATGATTAGTCTAGAAATATGCATTTTATGTTATTGTAAACATTGAGTTTAATTCAAAATATATTATTTTAAGTTATAAATCCAAGATCCGGATCAATTGTCTTTAAGGGGCTGTTTGTTTTTTAGGAATGTAGATACTTGACAGCTTCAGATGTCTGAAATCTCAAAAGCTCGGAATTTTAGATGTCGGGAACTTAAGATAGCCATGTTTGTTTTGTAGAAAAATTTATGAGAATATCCGAGAATATTTGGATAAACACATTTGTTTTGCAGGTCATCATATAATTTATACGTTAAATTTAATATTATTTGAATTCATATAAAAATTTTACTTTTATTAATTTAATATTATATTTTTATGTCAATTTTATTTTATGTTTGGTGATTATTGGAAGAGTAAAATAAATGAAAGATCGTACACTAGATTTGAATTAAAAATAAATTAACATATTATACCATTAACTAATATTTATTTTATATATGTAGCATATAAATCAAATTGTATTAAGACATTTATCAATGAATTGGTGCATACATTTAGTTTAAAAATATAATAAATGAAAAGTCAATGTTATTGATGAAAATAATATTATATAAGAAAAATGATGATTAACAAAATTGTCAAAAGAAAATACCCTCAACACAGGAATTTTAAAAATCCACAGTATAGACGTCCTGTTCGACATTAGAAGGATAAATCAACATTTTTATTGTATTACAAAGTTGACAAAATATGAAAAAAATGAACCAAATATCACTAATATATCACTAATATTAATATTAATCACTTAAAAAAAAAAGGTTTAAAATACTTATTTGTTAATTTAAATATTTTTTTTCAAACGTTTTCATCCATATTTCCATAAAATTAAAACTTCAATATTTCTATTTGACATCGAAGTTGGTGTTAAATGTAAATGAAATATTAGGTCCCTAAAAAGGGGTTCAAAACTCAAAATATAACTAGAAACAGCCAACTTTAAGGTGTCTTTGAAAGAAGTGCAAACTGCCATTCAATTTCGTGTAATTACTGTCATTACAAATATAAGAAATACATACATACTGTCATTACTCATTATTATGCAATGGTGTACAGTACAGTCTCCAGTTGCTTTTGTGTTTATTCTAAACATATAACTCAGTACCATGGAAGCATCAACCTAGCTATGACTTTGTTCAAGTTCAACACCTCAACTGAATTATCTAAAACTACTGATATACACCTCAAGTCGCAAACACTTCCTACAATGCATTGAACTAAATAACCTTTAACAGTACACGTCGTGATGTCACGTTCTTATGTTGTTTTCTGCATTCATTCTTCATGGTACAGGTACAAACCCAGGCCGAATCTTGCACAAGCCTTGCAGAAAGCTATTTCCTCCGCTGCAGCTACAGGATCCTCAATATTGCTATCAGTGGCAGATACTGTTCCAGTCGATTCGCGGTGTGCCTACATTTTATTGTAGTACCATGGAAGATAAATAAATAGAGACGTAAAATGAGCAAATTGTGTATTTAACTGAAAATAACGTACCAGACAAAATTTATTAGTTCTATTCTTTTTTTTTCCCTTTTAATGCCAACTAAATCAAGGCATGGCATTCATCAACTAATACAAGACAATTTCAATTTTTCTTTTGAGTACGACATGTGGGGATGGGGAATCGAACTCACAACCTTTTGGTTAGAGATATATGCCAATTACTGTTGAGCTATGCTTGCTTGGCACAATTTCAATTTTTATGAGAAAGAAACCATACCTAAACAAAAATAAATCCTAAATTAAGAACAAGTCAATAGAATTTGTACCTATTATTGTTATTATTATTATGAGTCCAATGTTCCAAGGTATTCGTAGACATGGGAAAAGACAGCGAATCAGAACGGCAATATTAGGGAAAAGAAACAAACCTCTCCATCAGATCCTCTTACAGTAACACGATACACCACAGTCACACTACCATTGTCAGAGAATATGACATCTCGTATTTCTCCACACCATCCTGCCAAATTGTGTGATGTACAAAATGATCTTAGATAGTTACTTAGAAACACTAACTCTTAAACTAAGATAACTTAAAACATCAATGGTATAATGAACATCCAGTGAGAAAATAATCCTTAGATTACAAAACTGACTAATACTCGGCATCATTTTCAATAAAATTAAACTGGCATCCTAAATTTCATATCACCCATCGAGGAATGTTTGTAGTGAAACATGATTGTTACAGTAATGGGATCAATGATCTTATTAAAAGCAGCCGAGCCACAACACAAAGACAATCTTATTAGTATTAAAATAGACATGAAAAAGTTTACAAGCTTTCAAGCACTTAGTTTCAAGTGGAACCTTTGCATTTTCACCAATAATTCTAAAACAAGATCCACCGACAGAATCAATACTCTGATAACAATTTGGAAAGAATAAAAAATTGAAAGAAATATAATGGAAAATGCTATTAATATAAGAAAGAAATAATTACAAAATACCAACTACTTCAAGGGGCCTGGACTAAAGAGAAATATAAAAGCAACAAAAAAACGACAAAGAAAAAGAAAACCCCTCAACTTTTGGTAAAGGTCCTGATTTCTTATGAGAAGGTTATTATGTCGTATAAAAGGGGTGTTTCGTAAGTTTATATAACATGGGCGTATGGAGCCAGTGAAATTATAAATTCATAGCTTGGAACAAGTAAACCCACATACTAAATATAAGCTCAGCTTCTATAATCAAACATTCAAAACTGATAGAGAGCAAATAGAATGCTCTCTTCTCCCTCTTTTCTAGGTTTTTAGTTTTCTGTCTTTTAAGCTCGTAGATTTATGTTTAAGAACTTTTAATTTTTTGTTATTTGAATCATTGATTTATTCTCCATTTAACGTTTGGAATTGGTAAGAAATGATTTCAAATTATGGAATTGGTAAGAAATGATTTCGAATTTCTAATTGCATTTGAAACCAAATTTATTCTAAATCATTGAAATTAAAATTTCTTGTTTGGATGCTCAGGAGAAATAAAAAGAAAGTATAACATTTTACTATTATGCCCTTAATATTTTGCAGGATATTATATTATTAATAATATAATATATTACCATATAGTAGTAACTTCAATCATGGATAAAATAAATAATTTAATCAAATCAACTCAACAAAATTTGGCAAATGTCGAAAAAAAAAGAGCTCGGTAAAAAAATGCTATGTTCTCCCTCCACTTTTTTCAAATTTTCTCCTTTCATCTCTAGTTTGGTTCCCTTAGTTCTTTATAGTTTAGTCTTCGAGTAAGATTTTCATTCTCGTTTAACTTAATGGGGAAGTTAATAGTTGCTGCAAGAATTTTTTCTGCCCTTTTGATAGTTTTTGGTTCGGTTTCGACCTCTAAGATGTAATTTTGACAGAAATTGGTTAGCTTCCTTAAGATAATCCAACCAACCTTTTGATAAAGAGATCTACCAATCCTGGAAGAAACTACTGAATCTCGAAGATTAGACTACGCGAAGCATTCCTAATAGACCAAGATTACTATACAATTCTCCGCTCTCTTGGCCCCCACACCTTTCTTACTACAACCATGCCCATCCTATGAGAGACTTTTCAAGGGAAGCAATACCCCAATCCAGTTTACAAAATAGAAAAGTAGCTAACAATTGAGCAAGACACTCACAAGAAATGTAACCGCCCCCAAGATCATATTGAGAAAGGAAGGCAGTACCTACTTGGAAAACATACACTAACATGATTGGTTGATTCTTCCCTAACGAAAGGAGCAAGACAAGATAAATACTATATGACAATCATACATAGTGTTGACATCACATCAAAGTGAGAAATATGAACGTTGAGAACAGGGATCAGCTAAATCATTACCAATAGGCACACGAAAAGATAGAAAATAACAGTCAACGTACCAGGGGCATAGAAACTCAACATCCTGTTGGCATGAAACCTGCGGGGAAAAATCCAGTATTCAAAATTTCTCAATCAGAAACCAGATCTTGTTGATTTGTCATTAAAAAAGAAAATCGATTGAACAGAAATTACCAGGGGATGAAAGTAGGGGGAGGACGATCATGGGTGTCGGACTGAGGGATTTTCTGAGTGATATTATCAGGGATTCTCTTATTTAGATCGCGGAGGATCTCAGCCAGAGGACGAGTGATGCAGGACGAGTTAGCCGGAGAAAACGATTTGTTGAGTGGAACAACATAGTTGGAATTGGGCACTCCCTTCTTACTACCACTAGCATCACTGCTGCTGCCGCAGAGAAGATGAAGACGGCGCCCTCTTCGAGTCCCATTAACAGGGTAGGAAGAGGGAGGGAGGAGATGACGCGAGAGCTGGAAATGGGCATAGGTTTGGAGAGCCATCAGAACAATGAAGCGACAACCAACGGCGACTAAATTAAACCTCCCACAGAAGAATTGTTTGCCTTATCTTCTGCAATCAACAAGAACAGAGGGCACTGCCCCATGAATTTGCTCTTCTGGGCTTCGAGATCGAAAAGATCGGTGGCTACTGGCTACTGCTAGTTCAATTCCACCTCCATGGATGAAATTCGTTCGAAATCTCAGCTAAATCCCGCAGATACAAGAGTGGGTTGCTCAGTAGAGACGCCGCCGGACAGTGTTCGTGAGATCTGAGATCGAGATTGAGATTTGAGTTTGTGAGATTTAGGTTTCCTTCAAAGGGTTGGTGGTAATTGGTAAAATTTGTTGGGCGGCTGGGCGGCTGCATTTTATTTTTCAGGAATTGTTTTTTCAGAATGTCAACCAATTTTTTACTTAATTTTGTTTGGAAATTGCACAAGTTAGCAAAAAATTATTTCAAAATATGTGGCGTATTTTTAAAATTTTTAAATATAGCACAAATTTTTATTTATATCATATATATATATATATATATTGCACCAACACTCATATTAATAATAATATATCACATCCAAATTGTAAGTATATCAGATATTCATATTAATAGTATATCAAATGTATATCACAGTAGTCATATATATTACAAATATATATTATTTGGGTAAAGTTGTCATTTTAAAATTGGACCTCAATTTAGAAAAAAAATAGTGCTATATTTGAAAATACTAAATGTTGTTGCTATTTTGTCAATTCTACTGAATGGTTTTGCCATATTTGAAACTACCCTTAATTTGAATAAAAAAATTTGAGTATTTTTTTTTTACAATAAGTATCCTTATTTCATTTAAGCAATCATGTTTATTTTTTTTTTATACTTGACCAGTTTCAATTAAGACAAACATTCAAAAGATTTTATATTTCAATAATTATTACCTATTTAATTTCATATTAATTCCATATTTTAATATCTTCTTCTCCTCATATTTTTTGGTAATTTTTTTTCAATAGTATGATGAACATATATTTTTTAAAAATATTTTTTTCATATATTAATTATCTTATTCTCCTTATTATTTTATTTTTCGGTATTTTTTTCTAGCGTCTTTTTTCGACGTCTTTTTTTTTCTTTATTTCAATAGTATGATAAACATATACTCCTTTAAAAGATTATTGTTTTTAATTTATTAATTAATTTACCATTTTTATTATGTTCAATGATTTATTGTACTAATTTTTATTTTTGCTAAATTGATTTGATAAATATTCTTGCTATTGGGTTAGATAATTATGTTAGATAACTAGTTGTTAGGCAAAAAATAAAGGTAAGCTCAACCCACATATTTCTCCCTTATTTACTTTACCTAATTACTCATTATATATATTTTTACTTAATTGGGTTGTTCGCGTTGGTTTTTAATATGTGATAGAAAGTGAGAAAATCGTTGAGTGTACAAATTTAACATCCAGAAATTAAATTAGTGTATTAAGAATTTGAAACTTATTTTACATTTGTAAAAAATTCATTATTTATTTCATAAGTTGTTTTTTGTTTCAATTTTGTGTTATGTAACTTTATTTTGTTAAAGTTACATGTTGTTAAGGTTGAATTTATACTTCAAATGAGGAGTTTTTCTTCATGTTAAAGTTGAACTTAATTCATGTGTGATGAATTTTATGTTTACGCAACTATAAATAGTTGTTGTTTTGTTCATTTGAGACATCAAGCATTGTCATTTGAGTTTTTCTCCTCTCACAAGAATTCTCTATTCTTTTAAGTTGTTCTTATTTATGTTGAGAGCAAATGTCTAAAGTTCTGCCAAATCCGAATAGTTCGAGGTTGCTGTTCTATCGAAGTTAGTCGTTGTATCTTGCTGAGACGATCGCTGTATATTATGCTAGCAACTTGTACAGAGCGAATAATTGTCTTCAGGTTAGCACTATTAAAGCGTGCCTCGACTATATTTATCAAGTTTTGGTGTTCATCAAGTCGTTCGAATTTGTATCATTTGTTACTAGTTATGTTGTAAATTGTTGCTAGTGTTATTCAATTTACCCAACAATCTGGAGAYAATTATAATAATTGCAAACACTTCCACTAATGCTCCTATGATGATTGGATCGACCATTGTCAAATCTCATGCTGAAAAACCAAAGAAGTTCAAGGGAGAAAACTTCAAAAGATGGCAACAGAAGATGATCTTCTACCTCAACACCTTGAATCTTACTCACATCCTAAAAGAGGTATGCCCAACTACTCCGCTAGAAGCAATCACTCCTAAAACTGAAGCGATCGAGCAAGTGTGGTTGCATTCAGACTTTCTATGTCGCAACTACATTTTAAGTTGCCTAGATGACACCTTGTATAATGTTTATTGCAATGTCTTTGATACTTCAAGGCAATTGTGTGAGACATTAGACAAGAAGTATAAGCTGAAAGATGTTGTTACTAAGAAATTCCTTGTTGGAAAATTCTTAGATTATAAAATGGTTGATACCAAGTTGGTAGTCAATCAGTTGAATTACAAATTATCATTAGTGATTTGCAAAGTGAAGGATTCGTCATTAATGAACAATTCCAAGTTGCTGTTATGATTGAGAAATTGCCTCCTGCTTGGAGAGAATCCAAATGTTATCTCAAACACAAGCGAAAAGAGTTGTCCTTGGAGAATCTTACTGTGAAACTTCACATTGAAGAGGACAACAAAAAGGGAGACAAAGAGCCACATAAAATTGAAGATAATGCACATATTGCTGAAGCTTTAAGACGTCAGCCCAAGAATGATCAATCCAAGACAAAGAATGTGAATCTTGGGTCAAGGAATGACACTAACAAGCACATTCGTGGAATTTGCTGGGTTTGCGGCAAAGAGTGGTCATATAGCTGAAAACCGTAGACACAAGAAGAAACAAAGCTTCAACAACCAGGCCAACATTGTAGAAGATGACAACCTAATAGCTGTCATCTCTTAGGTAAATATAGCCTCTAATACCAAAGGTTGGTGGATTGATACTCGTGCTACTAGGCACGTTTGTGGGGACAAATCACTGTTTACCACTTATGAGAAGCTAGATGGTAGTGATAAACTGTACGTGGGAAATGCTTCAACAGCCTCAGTGGAAGGCAGAGGAAAAGTCCTGCTGAAATGGACTTCTAGAAAGATACTTATCTTCACTGATGTGTGGCATGTGTCAAAGACTCAACAGAATCTTGTGTCAGGAATCCTACTAAGTAAAAATGGGTTTAAACTTGTATTTGAGTCACATAAATTTATTTTGACTAACGGGGTATGTATGTGGGAAAGGGCTATCTGAATGATGACCTGTTCAAATTGAATGTATTGGCACAAGTGCCCAAGAATAATAATAATAACAACAACTCTTCTGCTTATATTGTTGAGTTGTATGGTGTATGACATTCTAGATTGGGGTATGTCAATTATCATTCGTTACAAAGAATGGTAAGTTTAGGACTACTGCATAATTTTAACATTGATAATAGACACAAATGTGAAGTTTGTGTTGAATCAAAGTTTTCTAGAAAGTCATTTTCATATGTGGAAAGAAGTAACGAGTTACTTGATTTAATCCATAGTGATGTATGAAATTTGAAAAGTACTCCCACAAGAGGTGGTAAGAGATACTTTGTCACATTCATTGATGATTGTAATAAAATTTTCTATGTATATTTATTACATAGTAAAGATGAGACCTTAGATATTTTCAAAACATATAAGGCAGAAGTTGAAAATCAACTTGAGAAGAAAATAAAAGTGCTTAGATTAGATAGAGGTGGTGAATATGAATCATCGTCACTTTTTGAATTTTGGAAGTTAATGGTATAATACATCAAACTACGACACCTTATACACCACAACAAAATGATGTAGCTGAAAGAAAGAACCAAACTTTGAAGGACATGGTTAATTGCATATTAAATAGTTCAGGTTTACCCTATAATTTGTGGGGGATGCTTTGCTTACAACAAATTTTATCTTAAATAAATTCCACACAAGAAGACTAATAAGTCACCTTATAAAGTGAGGAAAAATAAGTTACCCTCATATAAAATACTGAAAGTGTGAGGGTGTTTGGCAAAGATACAAATTCATTTACCAAAAAGAACAAAACTTGGATCTAAGACAGTTGATTGTGTCTTTATAGGCTACGTTATACATAGTGCTCCTTATAGATTTCTGGTAATTAAATCAAAAATATTTGATATTAATCATAATGCTGTCATAGAATCTATTGAAGCTGAATTCTTTGAGAATATATTTCCTTCTAAAGAAGAAAGACGAAAGGTAATGGTACCAAAAGGAATAATGAGGCTAGCTATTCGAAAGGTCAAAACGATTAGGAAACTGAGATCAAACCTAGAAGAAGCAAAAGAACTAAGAAAGCTACTTTCTTTGGACCTGATTTCATAACTTATATGATAGATGGAGAGCCTCAAACTTTTCAAGAAGCTGTGTCATCTTCGGATGCACCTTATTGGAGAGAAGATATGAATAGTGAGATAGAATCCATTTTGCAGAACAATACCTGTGTATTGGTTGATTTACCTCCTGCAAGTAAACCAATTGAGAGTAAATAGATTTTCAAAAGAAAGCTAAAGGCTGATGGTACTATTAATAAATATAAAGCCCGTTTAGTAGCTAAAGGCTATCGTCAGAAACAAGGGCAAGATTTCTTTGATACCTATTCTCCAATGACGAAGATTGCATCTATAAGGATGTTAATTGCTATAACAGCTTTACGAAACTTGGAAATACACCAAATGGATGTAAAAATGACATTTTTAAATTGAGGCTTAGATGAAGAAATATATATGGAACAACCAGAAGGGTTTGTTGTAAAAGGACTTGAAAATAAAGTTTGTAAACTTGTCAAGTCTCATTATGGGTTGAAATAAGCACCCGTACAATGACATGAGAAGTTTGATCATACTATGTTATCTAATGGGTTTAAGATAAATGAGTGCGACAAATGTGTCTATGTAAAAACCAAAGATCAAGATTGCATCATTGTTTATTTATATGTGGATGGTATGTTGATAATGGGCACAACTAGAAATGTCATTGATTCCACTAAAAGGATGTTGAATTCCAACTTTAATATGAAAGACCTTGGTCTTGCTGATATTATCCTTGGAATCAAAATAACGAGAAATCCAAGTGGATGTATACTTTCTCAATCTCATTACATAGAGAAAGTGTTGAGAAAATTTGGTCATTTTGAGAGTAAGCTGGTAGTTACTCAATTTGATCCAAATTGTAAGTTGAAGAAGAATAATGATGAAGATGTATCTTCTCTAGAATACTATAGAGTTGTGCGTAGTTTAATG